ATCTACAGGTTTGTGTATTGAAGAAACTATATAATTCTTTTTAATTTAGTATCCTTAATTAGCAATCATAGATGCCAACAAAAATGGTAAGATAGAGCCTTTTTATATAGAAATATTTATAAAAAAGATTTATATTTGGCTAGAATTTGAAATAATTATTTACTCAATTGAAATAACATCTAGTATATCAAGAAGAAGGTTATGAGTCTTAATAATTTAAAGCCATTATATCTAATTATGCTAATTAGGCTCTGCTTAAATTATAAAAAGTATGTGGCTTCTTTAATGGTGAGAGTTTCAGTCCAATTAAAAGATAGTATCATACAAAGTATAAATGGATGTCAATCTTTTAGTGTTCAAATTTATTAATTTCAGAAATAAAATCAAGCAAATTTAAATAATATAAGCCAAAAGTTATAATTTAGTATCAATTTAGAATAACCCCTATAGCTATTCTTATTAATTAAATCAGCATTAATTAAGTTTTTTTGGACTGGAAATTTTACAATATTCAACTTGAATATTGCATATATGTAATTATGTATTGAAAAATGTGAAATTAATAAATATTCTCCAAATTTATATATTAATTATTAATCTCTTTAAGGAGATACGATGTCAAGAGCATTAAATTGGATCATCTGCTATTTTCTAATCCTTCTAATTTATGTTAAAATTTATAGAAATAAGGTGAATTTTTACGTATTCTAAAAGTTCTAAATTAAAAATAAAAGGAATTAATAATTGGTAAACTATTAAATGCAAATATTAGAATAAAAATTTATGAAAAAATATGCTCTGAAAAGCTCGTTTCAATATTTTTTGAATGTTATTTAGAATATTTTAATATAACATATATAATTTCTAAAAATTAAAATTTTTAGAAACCTGAAATCTTTAAGTATATTTCAAAAGAGAAATCCATTCAAGTCAGAAATATTTTGATTTTTAATATGTGTAAATTTATTAAATATCAGTTTATTTTTTTGTATGGAACCTTATTTTTATTATTTCTTGTTCTTAATTAAAATCAATTTGAATTATAGATATTTATATTTTGTATTATTTTATTGATTGTGGTGAATAATTTAAAAAATTATATTTTCTGAAAGACAAGAATTTAGAGAAAAACAGAAATAAATGATATTCAAGTTTCATATATAAATTATTATTAATTATGAAAATTTTCGATGCCATATCAAGTTACTTCAAAATAAACTGGCAAGTATACTTGAATTACATCGCTTTAAATTACGTTGACTATAGGTTATAAATAAACCGATGTATATGATCTAATTGTTGAAGATATACTTATATTTTTAGATTGTGGATTTGTTTATCGTAGTTATTATTTTAATGAATCAACAAGTAAGGTATCTTTTGGAATCTAAATAGAGTCTTAAGTAATATTATGTGTATAGCTTCAATAAATAGTTGATTATAAAACATTCATTTAATATTTATTTATTGTTATTTCTGAAAAAAATATGATTGTTTATAAAGAAAGACTAGGATAGGAAATTTTTTCTATCAATATAAAAATAATTGGATCTAGGAAATACAATATTTAAAAATGAATCAAAAAAAGAGATGTTTGACAATATTGTTAATTAATCTTTAACTTTTCTTTAGTAAAAGCGTATTATCTACAGTTATCTAGATGAAAATGTTTAGATGCAATCTAATAGATAATTCTTTTATATAATTATAGATATAATCTTAAATGATTTTTTGATATTGAAGAATATATATCAAATGATTATTAAATTCTATTTAGCAAAAGAATCTTTAGATGCTAAATACTTACTTTAGAATTAAAAAAATGTTGTTCATATCACTTTCTAAAAATTAATACAATATAAGATAAGTATGATAATTAGACCTTTAAAAATTTAGGTGTCTTAAATACTTTAAGATAGTGCCTTCGAAAATTTCTGAATATCAAGTTTACATTAGTAAAAATCATTAAAAAGTATTAGGATTAAATAGTAATATTAGAGGATAATAATTGAATATATTTGATTTATTTTCATAATTTATATCTTCAAGATGAGAATTTATATCTATTTATTTATCATTATTCAGTTTTTAAATATTTTATATAAAAAATTATTCTAGTTGATTTTAAATTTAAAAAAAATTGATAATTACTTATGTAATAACCAGATATCTTTGTTGTAGTTTTTTTTAGGTAGACTTATATTTCATATTTACCTTATTTTTTCTTGCTTAATCATGCTATTTGATGTATTAAAATCTAATACTTCAGTTTGATATCCTTTACAAATAATAGTAAATTTAAATTAATCAAATTATAAATTCATTTCGATTTTAAATAAATTCACAAAAATTTTGAATTATAAATTTTGGCAAAAATGAAAAATTGTATTGATGATAATTTATAGATATGTTTCTAATTCATTTATATATTATCTCATATGATTAATATTTTTTCTTCTTATCATCCCAAAATACAAAATACTATCCATTATTGGTCATAGTACCATTAGAATTTTCACTTTAGCACTTTAAAGACTTAATAATTTGAAATGTACCATCATTTAACTCTTTAATCAAATAGATATCATGTTTATGTCTTACCAATATTATATTTCTATCCTTATTATGTATTATTGGAAAATTGGATTCATCTTCGCATTCATGATTCCTAATTAAAGTGATTGTTTTATTAGAATTTAATTTAAAGACTCCATTTTACATTTCAAATACCAAAAGATCATTAATATACTTATCTCTAGGTACAAAAAATAATTATTAATTATTAGTAAAATGAATTTTATATCCACTTGGACCTAAAAGACCTGAGTTAAATTTCAATTCCCATATATCTTCAATTCCTTTCTCCCAAATTATAAATTCTTAATACCCACATGATGCCATAAGAGATTCACTTTAGTTAAAACTGAATGATGATACACTATTACCATGTTTATCTAAAGAATACAGAAAAGTCAACTCATTCTTCATAAAATTTACCTACCAAACAATTAATTTTTTATCACCTCCTCCTGAAATAAGTTGATCTTCTTATTTATTTAACATTAAACAATTAACCCATTTATCATGTTTTTAGTATGGTTATGAACAAATCCATTCTTTTTGACTAATTTATTGCCAACAGATAATAGTTTTATCTCGTGAACCTGAAATAAAGTAATTGTTATGTTTACTATAAACCAAGCAATTAACAGCATCTGTATGTTTTTGATATGAAGTAGTTAATGAAAATATTCCTTAATCAAAATTCCATATTTTAATCTCCTTACTACAAGTTGAAATCATAATTGATCCATTTTTATCAAATACTATTGCATAACATGGTGAAGTCTATTAATTTGGTTCATCAATTAATTTAAATTCAACTTATTACTCATTCATCAACTATTATTATTCCAATTATTTCTATTCACTTCCTATTTATATTACTTATTTTTATTACTACATATTAATTTCTTATTCTCCTTCAATAGAAATAGTATTAGATTGTATTATTTTAAATTCTTAAGAATCAATTACTTCTTTTACAATGTTTTTCTATTAATTCATTTTTTCCTTCTCATAAAATATTTTTTATTAGATATTTATTTAAGTCAAATTTTGTTTAACAATTTCAATTTCTTCTTTGATAATTTACTTTACCAAAGGGGTCACACTTTCAACTATCGATGATGAATAGTTAAATTCTGATATATTGAATTAATTAATCTAAGGTATTTCAAGATGTGATTCTGTATAATTAGTCTTACATGTAAAGGGTATATGAAGTAATGAATCAATTAACTCATCAATTCTAGAGAAACCAGTCTAAAAAGTAATATGAGATATAAGAATACTTCTATTTCATTCCCTACCTCCAAAAAGTGTTCTTCAATTTTAGACATTGTTTTTTAGATGATGGATGATCCTGATGATTAAATAGATAACATTGAATTATTAGTTTAATTATATATTTAATAAAGAAAAGATTTATTTTATTTATATTAATGTTTGATATAATGTAAAAATTATTATTTTAAAAACTCCCTGATTTTATTAGGTTTTTGCTATTGCCAGAACTAAAAGAGAAGCTAAAACATTAACTTCCTAAGGCTTAGTAATTGTTACCTCGTCCATGAAAAATTAGAACCTTGATATTGCTTGATATAAAAGTGCTCATATATTATATTTTTAGAAGATATATAAAAAAATCGTAAACTCTTCATATTACTCTTATCTTAATATATAAGGATAATTTAATGCAAATCAGGGTGAAATCAGAAATCATGTTTCTGGAAACACTATATTTTAGCTAAATACTCAAAATAAATTTTATGAGATTTACAAGCAATTACATAATCGAGCTCATAAATTTCTGTGCTTAAATAAACCATACAAATTCTTGAGTAGATAAGTAATTCAAATTGCCACTCTATTTTTAATATTTATCTATCAAAGAAAAAAATCTAAGAAATAAAAAGAATTTGAAGGCTGTCAAGTGAGATAGACTCTTTGTTATGAATCGAACCAAAAAGGATGGTGGAATAATAATATAATAAGGATTTATAATTAGTTTCGAAATTTTAGGGTGATTGAGCCATATTCTCATCTGTATTTGCCTAATTTAAAATCAATAGACTAATTAGAATTTTTATTTATAAAAGAAAGGAGTTTTTAAAACAATTGTTAAATCAAAAAATCGATAAAGAGGTCAGTTATTTTCATATGCTTTCTGACCTAAGGAGACAAGAGAAAGCTGATACTCTGCTAAATTTTGAAGATAATGAACTCATAACTTAAATTAACACTTACCAAAACATTCTTGAATAAGATTATTTTTTGCCGATCATTTTATTAAGCCCAATAATATAATTTAATGATCAATTAATAAATATAATGTAATTCAAATATTTAAGAACTTTCGAAGATCACTATATTAAATAGAATTAAAAGATATATTTTAATATGTATAAAATCAAATTCAGTTCAAGTCCATATGAAATTCAAACTGAGAATTAAAAGTTTTGTTTGTTAATAATCCAATATAACTAGTTAATATAATTCAACACTTGTTTCATTTAAATTAAGTAAGAATTATTTAGTTTATTCAAACTTTTAGAGTAAATTTGTCTTAATATTAATTGTTGGTAAATTCTCCTGGCAGCTACGAGTAAGAAAATATTACTGCTAATTATTGTATCTAATATAGATTTGAATGAAGTTGTGAATATTAAGATTTTTTTTGCATTAAGCTTAGATTTCGAAGTTTAATATGGACATGTTTAAATCAAATTCGATTTCATTTTCACCTTATTTTATGGTTTCTTAATCTATTTAATCACTTTTTAATTATATTGAATGAATATTATTGGAAATCTTAGATAGTTATTAAACGATGCTAATATGATCGAAAGTTAAGGGGGGAATTTTATTGTAATAAATACATTCACCTTTAAAAAGTACCCAATCTTAATACAAGCAGTACATTATTAATACCCAGGTCCGTAGCATTATTCACAATTAATTGAACATTTTCCGATATATAAATCAAATGCATTAATTCCCCAATATTTATTTTAAGTTGAATTTGATAGTGTGGCAAATGTGATTCCCATAGATGATTAAGAATGATTCATTTAATCTCTAAAATTTAATATGCTAACATTTTATTTAATTCCTTGACACTTTATCTCATGGGCTGATTAATTTAAATGTTCGTTTAATAATTCTTAATTGTCAAGCTTAAGAATAAATTAATCAACCTCCCAATTGCCAAATAACCAAATTTTGAATTCTACTTAAACAATAAAATGGGAAGTTAAATTAAAGATTGTACTTTAAACTGTTTAATTTGATCCTAATTTAAGATATCCTCCAGCTATATTAAGACTAGCACATACACTTGAAGAAAGTGTTGAATTACTATCTATTTTCCACTCATCAAACTCACTTGGAGTTATCCAAAATGACTTAAAATGAATCCAAAAGTCATAGGGCAATATATCATCTTAACAATACATACATCCGTTTGGGCATTTCAATATTTCAATTTTAAAATCGTTAATCCCCCATGATTCCTAAATTTTTCATTGTTTTACATTTTATGCATTTTAATCTAAATTTGAGGTTATTATTATGAAAATAAATTTTGATGAATGAATCATTTAGATTTAAAAAGTAACATTTTTTTCCAAATAATCTTCACCAAAAAGACCACAAACGTGATAACCTTCAGTCAAATTAAACTTTTCTTTTTTTAATTTATCATCAAAGAATATATAAACCCATTCATCATTCCAACTATCGATTCTAAAATAAAAGTTATGATATACTTCCAATATTTGAAAGAAACTTTAACTTGATAGTGAGGAGGAAGACTTGAATTTTAAGTAATTAATGTATCACTAGAGAAAGTTGAAAAACCTCCAAACATAGTCTCATTGCCACATTTTTAGAATAAAGTTGTGCTATGGGGGACTTCAATGAGCCATCCTAAATTATAATTAATTTATATACCCTCTTTATTAAAATTTCCTTCACTGAAAGCAGTGTATACAATTTCAAATTGATTTTCAGCCTATAACTATATTATTTTTAATAAGAACCACTATGAAAACATAAAAATGTATATTTTGATTATTTATATTTTAAATTAATTTAGATTTTATTATGAAAAATAATAGATTTATTTTAAGGATGATTCAGTTTTATGTTAAACAAATATAAGAATTATTTAACAGTTTTTAAAAAAATTATCATTCAATTCTCTAATATTTGCCCCTAAATTTAAATAAAGTTTCTTTTTTGATAAACAATATTAAATCACTATAAAAAATCAATCAATTGTATGTTTCTTTTTTTTTGAACAAGGATTATCCATATATTTTTGATAATCCAAAATTAGTAAAAATTAAAATTAGATATATCTATTTTAAATTAATTTATTTCAATCTTTGTTACACAGAATTTATCTTATTAGTCAACTTCATCATTTTATGAGTTGTAGATTGCCCAAAATTAATTTCTCAAAGTATTTTTACACTTTTATGAATTCAAACTTAGTATAATATTTATTCTTAAATAACTTATCAATCCGATTATTGGTTTTCCTTTAATCATTTGATTCAAGTTAGATCCATCTCTTGTATATTGCCTGGAATTAGATACAAATTCAAATTTTCTTATTGATTATTTATTATTGAGTGTCAAATTCATTTACATTTGATAATAGATTTAATTGCTACTTTTAATGATGAAAGAATAATATATTTTTTTATTTATGCTCATCAAATATTTATTGAAAAATAATATCTTATAATTTGAAGAAGATGAATGGGTAAACCTACTGTAGAAAAAATATTCTATTTTTTATATATTCATGCTAATTCTATTTTGGATAATCTTTGTAGTTTAAAAATGATATTTTGTAATTTAAAATCATTTTGTGATAAGTTTCACATCAATTGATTATCAATAATTATAGAAATGGGAATAAGAACAAAAATCATTTTATAGAAAAGAAGATTTTGACATCAAGAACTTCTCGAAATCTAAGAAATTAAATCAAATGTTGATTGTGTAAATTTTTCATTTGTATTTATTCATTATTCTATTTATACACTATTATATCTTCTAAAGTATATATAAATTGTCCTTATTAATCTTTATAGATCTTTCTAATGATCTAATATATCTTTTAAGGACCTATTGATTCGAAAATTTTCCATTAGGCAAATTGAAACAAGCTAGTGAAAGATCGCTCATTATACAAGATAAATAAATTAGGAGTTGAAAATAAGTTAATTCAAATTAGTAGATAATAAGATCTTGATTTCTTTTTTTACTCTCATAAATTTCCACAATTTTTCATTATTTTTTCAGGCTTCATTAGCTACTTTAATTGTTAATTCATGCTTTCTTTTGTATATTTCTATATAATTTTGCAATATGTTAAATTACAATTAATTCCCTATCCTTGCTAATATCCAAAAATTACACTCTCTTAATAATAAAAATTTGACATCATAAAATCAATAAATTTCCATCTCCTCCCCATTCCATGTATTCTTATTGACTATTTCATAGAATTCTTCATTTAGGATCGCACAAATAATCATGGTAGAACTATATTTAATATATTTGAGAACCAGACTGTAATTAACCGTTTAATTCTTTTTCAAATTACTAAAACTTATTAAATATTAAGTATCATCCATTTAAAGATGATTGAAGGTTCATTAATGCATAAATAAATATTCCTTCCAAGCATATTTGAATCTATTTAAATAGTATATTTTAGGAATGTGTTTAATTTTAAGATAACTGATAAGTATTTAATATTTCTCACTTAACTGAATAAATGAATTTCTAACTTCCCTATCTTTTATTTTTATCAATGATTTTCAATACCACCTTAAACAGAAATTAAAACTCTTATGTATTTGAAACAGTTTGACCTTTGTAATACATTTAAGATCATACTATTCCTCAAATTACTTTAAGTTAGTAACATAATTAGTTATTGAAATATTTACCTTATTTAACCAGCGAGTTCAAAGAAATTATTTAGTATCCAACTAGCCTAGGAACCAAAAGTAGAAATAGCTACATCATCCACATAGACAAAAATTTTAGTCTATACATGTTATTTTAAATTAAATCTTTTTCTTCGTTCATCCTTCTCAATTTTCTAAATTGAATTTAAGTCTAAATATTCTTTATAGGTCTTCAATTAATCAAAGTAAATATCAAAAGAAATTATCTTCTCAACATGATCATAAATATTAGTTTTCCGTATATCCAATTCTAGTCCTTAAAGTTCATTTTAATTTAAAAAGCTTTAGCATTTACCTTTTTATCCAAAAAATTAATATTTAACTGCTTATAGATATTTCCTCTAGAGAGAATTGTGAACACTAGAAAGTCATCTTCAAGTATGTTAAAAATTAAATCAGATTGCTCAAATTTTAATTCTTCATTTTTTAAGTATAAGTAATAGTAATTAATTCTTAAAATAAACAGTCCCATTTTCAACTCTTAATTCCATCATTAGTAATTATACTATTATTAAGAAGTATGATTTTGCAAATTTAATAGAATTCGAAATATAAAAAAAATATATGATAAAGATAAGAGAACTTAGAATATAATGTTCTATCTAAGGACATGATAGTGTTGAATTAGCTTGTATGAATTAATCCTGTAAGGCCAATAGAGTTTATTGTTATTAATGTCTTAGGAATGGAGATCATGTTCCTCATATAAAGGATTAAAAGAATTTAAATGAACTCATCGATTTTTTTAATACAATTGAGCAAGATAGTGATAGTTTAATATTAAAATTATGTATGATGGTTGGAGAAATAAATGAACTATTCTCTTAATTAATTGTGGGACTAAAAAAAAAATATCAAAGCCTTAAAGAAAGGATTTTCTAATTTAATGCAATATAATTGAATTAAGCTATAGATTAAGTGGTCAATTATGATGAAATTCAAATAGGTTTATTAGAAGACATAAAGAAATGCTCAGATGATCTGATCATGGAATTAAAAAGAAAAATAACAGAATTAAAACTAGAAGAATTAAATTATTCTCAATTGAATTAATAAGAACTAGATAAAGTAGAAGAATTATATTAAGAAGGTAATAGATGACTTATTTAGGATTTAAATTATATTATGATTAAAATAAATTTTAAGAAGCAATTAAATTATTCGATGCTACAATATTAATTAATCCGTATCATGTCAATTCATTAAGTATAAAATGTATGAAAAAATATCAAAATTTATTAGCTAAATGTTTATGCAGCCTTAAAAACTATTAAGAGGCAATAGTATGGGCTGATAAAGCGTTATCTATAGATTCAAGGAATCTTAATTCATTAACTACAAAAAGTATAACAATTAAGATAAATATTAGATTAATGTTTAAGAATGATGTCAAATTATTAAGAAGCAATTATATGGGTCGATAAAACTTTGCTTATAAATTTTAGGCATGTAAATTCATTAAGTACAAAAGGTGTATACATCTTATATAAATATATTAGCTGAATGCTTAAGAATGCTTGGTCAATACAAAGATGCTATCATATGGGCTGATAAAACTTTGACTTTAGATTCAAAGAATGTAAGTTCTTTAAATACAAAAGGTATGTGCATCTTATATATAAAGCTGAATGCTTAAGAATGCTTGGTGAATATAAAGATGCTATTATATGGGCTGATAAAACTTTGACAATAGATTCTAAGAATGTAAGTTCTTTAAAGACAAAAAGTATGTAAACTTAATAAATCTATTAGCTGAATGCTTAAAAATGCTTGGTGAATACAAAGATGCTATTATATGGGCTGATAAAGCTTTGACTTTAGATTCACAGAATGTAAGTTCATTAAGTACAAAAGGTATGTGCATCTTATATTTTAATATATTAGCTGTATGTTTAAGAAGGCTTGGTAATCATAAAGATGCTATTATATGGGCTGATAAAGCGTTATCTTTAGATTAAAATGATGTCAATTCATTATATACAAAAGGTTATTTAATATTTTTAGAATAGGGCAATCATTAAGAAGGTTAAGTAAATTTGAAGAGGCTCTTTAGAGTTTTAATTAAGTATTGAATTTTAATCCATATCATGATTAATCTCTAGCTGAAAAAGGTTTAAATATTATAATTATTTATAGGAGCCTGCTTACAATCTTAACATAAATATTCAGATGCCATAACTTATTATAATTAGGCTATTTTAATTAATCCAAATTTTTAATCAGCAAAAAATTATAGAGGTAATTTTCATTAATTTAAATAGCTTAATGTGAGAAACTACTCATGTCAAAATAATAAATTAAATGATTATTGAATATTATATTTGCACAAATTCACTAAAATAGAAGTTACATCTATATGTTTCTCAATATTTCTAATTCTCATAGATATATCTTCAATCTAACAAACCCTTATTGTCTTAATGTATTCTGAAATTAAATTTAATAAATAAAATTCCATTTGGAGTAATTTTTAGATTATAAAAATATTTTTTTTTTAAATGATTCTCATATTAAGAATTACTTTCTTAAAATAAATCAACCTTTTCTAATTTCTTAAGCTAAAAATATGAATAGATATAACCTGAAAAATTTAATATTGATCATTAAATATATTAGATATTCTATGTAATAAAATGGTTCTATTGTTTGAAATATTAAAAAAAATTCTTTTCAAATTTAAACTTGTATTTTTTTATAAATAATAATTACAAGAAAATTTAATTTTTATTAATTCTTTTATACTCTTTGATGTAGCTTAAATTAGGATGCTGTGCTCTTTCCTCTTTTATAATATTTAAATTCTTTTCCTAACTATTTATTTAGTGTTCTCTTGCTTTCATATCCTAAATTTAATTGGATATGCAATTTAAAAATTAACAACAATTCTATTGATTTTGAAATCCATTTTCTTGGATTTATAGATTTCAAAAATTATTTTCACTTTCAAAGATTTCTTTAAACAGGCTGGTATATCAATTAATTATATAATTTTGATAATATAAAAGTAAAATATTTTGAATATTAATTGCACTTTAATTTAATATTATTAATTATAATTAATGTTTGATTATAATTAGATTTCTATGATTTAATGTCTTGCTTTACTTTTACATTTCTCGTAATGCTTATTAAATTTGATTGATTCATATATGTATTTGATTGATGAAAACAATTTAATAACATTCTCTTTAGATGGGACAAATAATATCAATTACATTGTGTACAAATGAAAATAAATGAAATACTAAATTTAATTAACTTTTATTTTGATGATATCATAATAGGGGTCACCCAAGGAGCTGTCTCCTTC